AATAAAGCAGACTTGACTTGACTTGACTTGACTTGATGTGCTTTAGTATGTTAGTCAGCACATCAAAATAAGTGTTCTTCTGTAAAGTATTAGGGGAAAAATATATTTTTAAGTAAACTTTTAATTTGACATTATTACAAAGTGCCTTTTTAAAAGTGTACTTAAGTGTGTTAAGAAACAGTCATGAAAGTGTCTCTCTTTAAGTACACTTAAGTGGCATTTTAAATTTTTAAATGTTAAAATTGTTTAAATTTGATAAATATACTTTTAAAGATTTGAAGTAGGGCTGTGCAAAAAATCGAATGCGATTCGAATGCGATTTTCATGCGCATCTCGTCAGTAAAGTCCTGTGATTAGTAGTAAATCCTGTGATTAGTAGTAAATCTCCAGCACGTGCATTCAGATGGAGCGGCATTTACTACACAGAGCCGTAGATCACTGACAAGCTACATAAAATCGCGTTCAAAATCGGCAATGAATCGCCTGCGATTTTGAATGCGATTTTGTGTAGCTTGTCAGTGAACTACAGCTCTGGAGATTTACTACTAATCACAGGAGCGGCTTTACTGACCAGATGCGCATGAAAATCGCATTCGATTTTTTGCACAGCCCTAATTTGAAGTACACACCAAATGCACATTCAATACAATTAAGTGCACTTATTATTAAAGCTGAGCTAGTTCTAATCTGAATCCATCCTTTAAAGACAGGGTAGGCGATTATGGAGAGGCTAGCAATAGCAAGCTAGCTTTGAAAGCATAAGATCCCACCTTTCCTGCAAATCACTCTCCAAAGCCACACCTCCTTCAAAACACATGAACGCACTCAGGCAGACCAGAGGCTAAGCAACGACATGATAAGAGACGGATAAATGCAACGCTGTCAGATTACCTCACGTCTCATTCACCGGCGAGAAAACATTACAGTATGAAGCGCATAATATTACAATAATAACACCTTCCATTCTCGCTCGTTCTGCAGTAGTGTAATGAACGCTCTGATGACGTATCATGTCTGTGTGAACAGGGTCACACGGAGGTATGCAAATACATACATTGACAGGCAGGTAAAACAGCCTATCGTAGCCCTCGGACAGAGGAATATGATTGGACGAACATTTTATGGTCCTGTGCCTTCCACAGACGATAGAAATACATATAAATACATTTAGACAACCTAACTTATTGATTGCTACCAGGATGTGTAGAGACTTTCAATCAGCACAACAAAAAGTGTCTAAATCACCTGCCCTGCCTTTAAAAGGCTAAACTGAAATCGTTCGTGAATATTTTTACCTCGTACATGGCTTCGTCTCTGTATGACGGTATATTCTCCACAATGTACTTCACCATCTTCTCTGCATCATTCTCACAGCGACTCATGAATATCCGGAAGGATCCGCCATGCTCCATGAGCACTCGGCCGGCCTCTGTCAGGGCCTGGTGACGCTCTTTCAGCATCGGCATGGGAGTTTCGCTGTCTGAGCGCAGGACTTTCGTTAGCTCGGCCTCACTGATCTGAGAGAAGTAAGTGGGGTTGGTAATGGGCACTCCTAAATAAAGACATCACACACATATCATAACGTTAAAACATATACACAGTTCTGGCATGAAACTCTAGATGGCGCAGTCCGATAGGTCTAACTCAATATGACATAATGACATCATTCACAGCTGATTGGCTCTCTCCTGTATCGGTAGCCAATGAGCTCGCTGCCCAACATTCAAATATAGGACTAGTGCTTGCTTCAGAAACCCTCCACCTTCCCCAGCTCCACCTGTATAGATCTGCTATGAGGTGATTCATGTATGCAATGGGGGGGTTATTTCATGTATGTTATATGTGCAGCAGCAGTATTTCTTACATGCTCACAGCAGCATGTTGTGGATGTATTG